GCCAACCTCTCTTCCGCCGCCAGCCACAACTGCAGCGCCGAGGGCTACATCTACCAGGACTCGGTCGCCATGCCCTGGAAGGTGCTGCTGGTTCTGGTGCTGGCGCTCGTCACCCTGGCCACCACGCTCTCCAACGCCTTCGTGATCGCCACGGTGTACCGGACGCGGAAGCTGCACACCCCGGCCAACTACCTGATCGCCTCCCTGGCGGTCACCGACCTGCTCGTGTCCATCCTGGTGATGCCCGTGAGCACCCTGTACACCGTCACCGGCCGCTGGACGCTGGGCCAGGCGGTCTGCGACTTCTGGCTGTCGTCGGACATCACCTGTTGCACCGCTTCCATCCTGCACCTGTGCGTCATCGCCCTGGACCGCTACTGGGCCATCACCGACGCCGTGGAGTACTCGGCCAAAAGGACTCCCAAGAGGGCGGCGGGCATGATCGCGCTGGTGTGGGTCTTCTCCGTCTCCATCTCGCTGCCCCCCTTCTTCTGGCGGCAGGCCAAGGCCGAGGAGGAGGTGTCGGACTGCGTGGTGAACACCGACCACGTCCTCTACACGGTCTACTCCACGGTGGGCGCGTTCTACTTTCCCACCCTGCTCCTGATCGCCCTCTACGGCCGCATCTACGTGGAGGCCCGCTCGCGGATCTTGAAGCAGACGCCCAGCAGGACCGGCAAGCGCCTCACGCGCGCCCAGCTCGTCACCGACTCCCCCGGGTCCTCGTCCTCCGTCGCCTCTCTCAACTCGCGCGCTCCCGACGCGCCCAGCGAGTCCGGCTCCCCGGTGTGCGTGAACCAAGTCAAGGTGCGGGTCTCCGACGCCCTCCTGGAGAAGAAGAAGCTCATGGCCGCCAGGGAGCGCAAAGCCACCAAGACCCTGGGCATCATTCTGGGGGCCTTCATCGTGTGCTGGCTGCCCTTCTTCATCATCTCCCTGGTGATGCCCATCTGCCAGGACGCCTGCTGGTTCCACCTGGCCATCTTCGACTTCTTCACGTGGCTGGGCTATCTCAACTCCCTCATCAACCCCATCATCTACACCATGTCCAACGAGGACTTCAAGCAAGCGTTCCACAAACTCGTCCGCTTTCGGTGCGCGCGCTGACTCGCCCGCCGCGGCGGGGCCGCCTCGGCGACCTCGGGGGACCCCGCGGGGTCCGGTTCCGCAGGTAGGTCGGGTCTCCTTTCGGCGACGGGGTCCGAGCCGGGCGCTCTCTCCTGGGCGAGGGCGGTGGAGCCTGAGAAGCCGGGATAGACCCGAGAGAGCGCTCCGAGAGAACTGTCCAGACCCGAGGCAGAGTTCTGCTAAAGCGGGGCGGGTGGGGGGCTTACTGCCTCCCCCAGGCCCCAGGCCCGGCGAGCGTTGACCCCGCGGTGGCAATCACAAAAGGGGCGGCGACTTTTAAAAAGTGGATGGTGGCAAGGGGACCCCTGCCCTGCCGTGGGGTCCTGGACGGTGCCCTCCAGAACCGGTGTCCTTGTGGTGGTTGTCGGAAGCCTGTCCGAGACAGAAATCTACGTACAGCCTGGCAGTACTTGAACTAGACGCTTCATACCCTGCGTTTCTGGGGAGAACGTTGTGTCGCGGCTTCATGTAAGAACGGCTCCTTTGGCATCCTTCAAGTCCTCAGTTTCTGTTGATTTCAACTTGGCTGGAGAAACTTGCGATTCGGTGCTTAGAACCCTCCGTGTGTCTTGGATGGCGCAAAGAAACCTCGAAGAGCTCACTGCGAAAATTCTGATGCTAAGATCT